AAAGAGAAAGGGAGGAGTCAGTGAAGAGCACCGGAGTTGAGCCTTTTGTCATCCAGTGTCTTTGTTAGAAAGAGAGACATGAAAAAAATGATAAAACCGATAAATGAAAACGAGGTCGATGATTTTAATTTATCATGCGATCAATTGATTTATTGTTTATTGCGACAGGCCCAATATTACCATATATATATATATAATGTGTCTTTTGTTGTATTTGTTGAAGCATTTAAATCTTTATAAAATCTATTAGGCTGCCAAATTTCACAATTTGTTCGTCTCAGGTATGTGTCAGACTTCTCCACAACACTCCAGTCAATCCGGAAGAAGTGTAAACTTGAAGAGATTCCAAGTTCATCCGTTTTTCAGGAGGACTGGACAGCATTCCAGAATTCAGTCAGGTCATTCTTTTTTTTATTTATTTTTCTCTACCCAGTTTGTTTATTTAAACAGATAAATTAAATGCTCATTTAATGTACTGGCTGCAGGATCATCGCCACATGTGGAGAACTGCTAAGACAGTGTGGGGCGTTTGAGAGGCAGCTGTCAAACAAGTGAGTATGATATTCATGCAGAATGTTTTCTCATCTAGTTCTTGGACAATCTATAAAAGTGCTTGTTCAGATTTTATGAAGAAGTTGGGCATTCCTTCTTATCAAACCTTCTTTTAGGATCCTGAGCACAGCTGGTAAGTACTTATCAGAGTCTTACAGCCCTCGCAGCCTGGCAGGCATCCAGGAGGCCAGCTCCACTGAGAGGAAGAATAGCCCCCAAAACCCTTGGCAGGAATACAACTACCTTCAGAAGGGGAATGTGGCTGAATACAACAACTTGATGGAAGTCCTTTACTCCTTAAAGGTATGACCTGGAGCTTTGTGTCTGAGGAGGAACTGCTGGTTTATCAGTGGCTCTCTGCTGTTGTTCTTTACACGGCTGCTTCAATCATCTCACAGGAAAAGGGCGCAGGCAACTCCAGCTTGTTGGCTGAGCCCAGATCAGCTCTGACCAGACTCAATCAGCAGGCCAACCAGCTGGCCTTCGACTCCGTCTTCCTGCAGATCAAACACCAGCTCTGCCTCGTCTCCAAGGTGGAGGTGATGATTACGTGTCAAGTTTCCACATGATTTGATTTCCAACAACATTAGAGACGGTTTGAGTGCATGAGTGCTGAGCGATTGGCTTTATTTGTGCGCATTTGAGTTTTGTATGTTCTGTGTTTAGTTCTGACGTCACGCTGTGTGATTTATTTACTTTTTGTTGCTTTTCTTCTGTGTTAAGAGTCAAGAGGCTTCTGGTATTGGAGAGAGCTACACAGAAGACCTGCCGACGTTCAGCCTGTCGCCGCAGGAATACATTACAAATGTTAGTCAAGTTTAAATCAAAGTTTATCACTTATCAGACTGTGCCAATCAGGCAAGCGCCAGTAATTCAAGATACTCCACAGTGTTAAAAAGTTTTGCTGTCAAACCACTACATTTCTCCATCATACTGATCCTACTACAACTTGAATACCTAAAATCAAGATGATTAATAACTGATCATTTCAACAAGCTACAAGAATTAGCATGTTAGCAGGTGAAATATATACATCCTGCTGCGGGCTTACTGAGGAGACTAATTACCCATCTAACCCAGTTACAGATTAGCATACCACCAGAATGTTTTAATTGTGCAGCAGTAAAATAGGATGAAGCTAATCTTAATGTATGTGATTGTTGTTTAATTCTTGTAAACGCACGACCGTTTCTTTTATCCTTTATAGATAGGACAGTACTTGATGTCTCTGCCTCTTCACTTGGAGCCTTTTGTGACGCAGGAGGACCCTGCCTTAGAGATGGCCTTACATGCTGGGAAGCTGCCTTTTCCTCCAGAGCAAGGTTTCTAATGGATCAGTTCTGATTGCGTTTTTAGTTTTAATTTCGATTGGTTCCACCTTTCGTGTTGTTTCCTTCTGTGCCTCTAGTTGTTGCTCCTCCGATATGGAGCCTTTCTTAAATCGCTACCTTGTTTATTTTTCAGGAGACGACCTTCCTGAGCTGGACAACACAGCCGACTACTGGCTGGGCTCCATCGCCAGGGCAACCATGCAGACCTACTGCGATGTCATTTTACTAATCCCCCAGCTGACCCCCCGTTTTACTAAACAGCTGGCCACAGACATAGGTACTGTAAACAAATTGATGGCTAAGTAGCCACATTTTCCCCACGTGGTATTAAAGACAATTCTGTATGGAGTCAATCCTGTTTGTCTCCGCAGATTATCTGAGCAACGTGATGGATGCTTTGGGCCTGCAGCCCTCACGCGCCCTCCAACATATCGTCACCTTGCTGAGGGCTAAACCTGAAGACTACAGACAGACCGCTAAACTGCTGCCCCGTCGCCTCGCCTCCACCATCGCTGCACTCAGGAGCATCGATTACTAACACCAAGCGGGATGGAGAAGGACTCTGTGGGTACAATAGCTCCCTGAGTGGCAGCAGAGACTTCCTGTGTTGTAAGCAAACAGAAAAATGTGACATTAATAGAAGCAAGTTGCATGTTTCATACTGTTAACATGTTACAGTACAGATGATTCTTACTGAAGGTTTTATGCACAGATAAGTGTGGAGGTCGTTAATGATAACTCAAATCTGGGTGGTTCTTTTCTTATACATTTTTCACTAATGATTCTGCTCGAAGTTTTAATTTAAAAATGTTGCGACGGTGAGGATGCCTTCAGGTTTTTTCCCAGTTCCTGCATTTATAACCAGGCTGTTTCTGTGTATGATAAATCTGTATGATCAATATATCTGATTCCTTTTTGTCATGCTAATATATTTAATCTATCCAATGGGGATGTTTCTTGTCTGATCTGTGTTGGTTTTTATTTATTAGGCACCACAATTGGGTAACTTGAAAAAATAAATGAGGAAAGGGTCTAACTGTGTTGTACTGGCTGATAGACATTTCTGTTTCCATTTTGGATTGTGGATTCTTTTCTATTATAAAATATTGTAAAAACGTGTATATAAAGATCTGATAACACCAAATTGTAGCCTCTTATTTATTTATTTAATTTAGCAATTGAAAACAATTGGCTGACACGCCTTTGCAACGTCGTGTGGACATGGGGGCAGTGCCACTGGATTGTCAGACTGGGGTGGTGGTTCCCCTGTTCTAAAAGTGGGATCGAAGGGTGTGCTCCAATTATAGGGGCATCACTCTCTAGCCCCACTGGTAAGGTATATTCAGGGGTACTGGAGAAGCGTGTCCAATTGTTGGTCCAACATCAGATCTAGGTGGAACAATGTGGGTTCTGTTCTCACTAGGGTCCTTGAGGGGTCATGGGAGTTTGCCCATCCAGTCTACATGTGTTTTGTGGACTTGGAGAAGGCATTTGACTGTTCCTCGGGGTACACTGTGGGGGGTGCTCCGTGAGTAAGGGATTGGAGGCCTGTTGTTACGGGGCTGTTCAGTCCCTACAAGTGGAGCAAGAGTTTGGTTCACATTGCTGGCAGTAAGTCGGACCCCTTCAGGGTGGGAGTTGGACTCCACCGGGGCTGCCCGTTGTCACCGATTCTGTTCATAACTTTTATGGACAGAATTTCTCAGTGCAGTCAGGGGACGGAGGGTTTCCGGTTCGGTGGCCTCAGGATTCCATCTCTGCTCTTTGCAGATGATGTGGTCCTGTTGGCGTCATCATGCTGTGATCTCCAGCTCTCACTGGAGCAGTTTGCAGCAGCTGGGATGAGAATCGGCACCTCCAAATCTGAGGCCATGGTTCTCAACTGGAAAAGTGTGGATTGCTCTCTTCGGGTCGAGCGTGAGTTTCTGCCACAAGTGGAGGAGTTCAAGTATCTCGGGGTTTTGTTCGTGAGTGAGAGAAGAGTGGAGCGTGAGATTGACAGATGGATTGGTGCAGCATCTGCAGTATTGCAGACTCTGTACCGGTCCGTTGTGGTGAAGAGAGAGCTGAGCTATAAGGCAAAGCTCTCTGTTTACCGGTCGGTCTATGTTCCTACCCTCACTTATGGTCATGAGCTCTGGGTAGTGACTGAAAGAATGAGATCATGGATACAGGTGGCTGAAATGAGTTTACTTCACAGGGTAGCTGGACTCTCCTTGATATACAGGTTGAGAAGTTCAGTTATCTGGAAGGGATTCAGAGTAGAACCGCTGCTCCTCCACGTCAAGAAGCGCCAGTTGAGTTGGTTCGAGCATCTGGTAAGGATGCGGTGCTTCGGGCATGTCCGACTGGGAGGAGACCCCGGGGAAGACCCAGGACATGCTGGACAGACTGTCTCTCGGTTGGCCTGGGAACTCCTCGTAGTCCTCCCAGAAGAACTGGAAGAGGTGGCTGTAGAAAGAGAAGTCTGGGCCTCTCTGTTCAAGCTGCTGCCCCCGTGACCCGACTTTGGAATAAGCGGAAGATAATGGATGAATTTAGCAATTGAAAACAATCTGATTTAGTTATTACCATGTGAGCAAAAATGTTTTATTTTATTTCTCTGTTTAAAGATGTTTTACATAACTATTTGATGTTAATTGATTATCTGTTGACATGACCAAGACTGACAAATTACATATAGAATTTAAGTAAAATTTGAAATATGTTTAAAAATGTTATTTAATTAAATGTTAGCCTTTTATCACTGATTGAAAAAAAAAAAAATTAAATATTAATTTGGGAATTCCAGCTAACTAGCCTTTTAAAAACTAGCTGTTTTAGTCTAATAGTTTTAAATCAACCATTTATCGATAAGTTCTATGATCTTGATCATTTTTTTAGACTTCCTAAAGGTCATAGTTATTTTTTTAACCTATTGGCTTGTTTTTTGACAGTTTTTCAGCTATCTGATCATTGTTTCTCCTTATTGTTTTGACATAAACAATCTCCTAAACTCCAAGATCAAGATGTCTTTCCTGAATCCAGTGTTAGGAAAATGACACTTAAGTACAGGCTCCTTGTTGATGGCAGCCTGTCACAAATCAACTTGTTCCCATTTCTTGAAGATAATCTATTTAAAAAAATAATCTTGAAGACTGAAAATACTACTTTAAAGGCAAGGTTTTTTTTTTTTTTTCATAGAAAAAAACCAAATGTCCAAAGAAAAAGCTTCAAAAGAGCTGGAGTACTGTCCCGATGTGTACTCAGTAATCCAGAGACATAAATCTAACAAGGTTGAGTCAGGTCCTTTGGACAGATTCAGACTGATGAAGTCTTTTGGATAAAAGATAAAACGTTTCATCAAAGAAGAACCCGTCCAGAGGACCTAACTCAACCTTGTTACACTTGGAGAACCATTGATCGAGACCATTTCAATTAAAGGTCTAACAATTCTTTAAAGAATGACTTTTACTTGCTGCCTTTCATGCTGGAATTGAAACTATGATCATTTTATTCTGAGAGGGGATGGCACAGCTGTTTGGATCAAACCTTTTAAATTATATTGTGCTAAATCTCCTGGGACTTAAATGTGCTCAGAATGTCTCAGTTATACTACCACACAAAAACTGGCTGAACATCTGTAAAGATGTAACTCTTGAGTTTGCTGATGTCAGTTGACCATCTTAAATTATGTTGACAATCAGTTGTAAATGATTGAGCAATTTTTACAATCCATCCAATGGTTCATGAGCTATAGATATGTGTAAGCAAAAACAATCTATCCTGTGGTGGCAGGTGATAATTGAGGGTGGTTTAAAGATGTAAACACAGTAGCCTACAGTTGTTAAATGCTTAAGAAACTTAACTTTTGTTGCAGCTACTAATGTGCACTTTTGCATAAATTTTCTGGCACCAGTTAAAATAATAAAATAATCTTGGGAAGTTGCAAGTGCCTGAAGTAACGATCAAGAAAAAAATAAAAAATAAAAACATTTATTTTTGTCTGGATGTTCCTGATTTTATTCAGCGTTAGGCCAGAGATGCAGCAGTGGAAACCTGGAAGCTGATTGGTTGTTGCTGGGATGGAGGCTCCGCCCCCTCCTCTACCTGCTCTCCTCCAGCTTGGACCAGCGTCGGGTCGGGCCTGACGTCAGCCGTCACCGCCCTGCCCGCAGTGTCCGTGATGGAGACCAGGGAGAAGCGGCCTCGCAATGAAGCGCATCCGGAGGCGGAAATAAGGCGCGCGCACCCTGAAACAAACACTCAGATGTAAGAAGAAGAAGAAACAAACTTCGGATGGGGATTCCAACCTTCGCGTCTGACCCGAGAAGCGATGCCTCTCCGCGGGGCAGCGGCGGGCTGCGTCGCTCCGCTCGGGGGCTCCCTCAGTTCGGCAGCGCTCCTCCTGCGAAGCCCCGCTCCGCTGTGGAGGAGGTTTAGGGGGCCGGGAAAATGTCTCCGGACCGTCACCTCTCCTGAACAACATCGGTTCTGATTAACAGTCCGCCTTTAAACGGGGTGGAGCTGCGGGTTCATAAATTATGAGGAATCCTGCTCGTCACTAAGATTTATTGTTTGTTACGTCCGACAAAAACAATGAACCCGAGCGGCGCGCGTGCAGCCGAACCATGACACAGCCTGACGAGGTGCTGCTGCTGATGATGATGATGATGGCTGTGAGTGGGACTGGTCCAGGGTTTCACCCTGATGGAGGCTGTTCATGCAACCCAGCGCAGTGGTGTTGATCAAGAGGACGAACCATCTTCAAAATGTCGAAAGTTGTCAGCAGCAAGGAGAAGAAATCCTTCAGCAAGAAGCTGTTCCGCAGGAGTTCGGTCCGCTCCGTGGGCAGCTTCATGAACAGAGTCCTCCGGACCCTGTCCACTCTGTCCCACTTCGGCACCGACGAGCAGGCCGCCGCCGACGACAAGGACGAGGCGACTTCGGCTCCGAACACCGCGGCAGGCTCGGTCCAGTCGGACGACAGCGACTGCGGGGGGTTCCAGCTCGGGGACAAGGTGCCGGGTGTCTCCGGGCTCAAGAACCACGGCAACACCTGCTTCATGAACGCCATCTTACAGTGCCTGAGCAACACGGAGCTGTTCGCAGAGTATCTGGCCCTGGAGCAGTTCAGAGGAGGGGAGACGAGCACCGACGACAAGGCGAGGTCCAACGGGGTTCTGGTGCAGAAGAAGGGGGGCAGCCAGCAGCAGGAGGCGGGGGAGGTGACCGAGCAGCTGTCCGGCCTGGTTCGGGCTCTGTGGACCTTTGAGTACACCCCTCAGCACAGCAGGGACTTTAAGGTATGGCTCTCCAGAACTGGAGAAGATTCATGAAATGGTAAAAGTTGGAATGCACTGCAGCTGTTTGGGTGTTTCTTTTAAAATCAGATGGTTTACGTTGATTAATGAGGACTAAAATATAAAATGTGAACATTTGGAGCACAAAAAAAAAAGAGGAGAAACAAGTAGGTGAAAATAAAAGTTGTTAAATAGAATAATGAAAACACATTTATTTCTTTATTACACTTGACTCTCTCAGGAATTGAGCATTTTAAGCAGAAAAAAAAAACTTGGGGCGGCACGGTGGCTCAGTTGGTAGAGCTGTTGCCTCTCAATGAGAAGGTCGTCAGATCAAATCCCAGCGGGGACCGTTCATGTGTGGGGTTTGCATGTTCTCTCTGTGCATGTTCGCTTCAGGTACTTCAGTTTCTACACAGAACAAAAACATGCATGTTAGGCTGATTGGTAAATAAATTGTCCCTAGATGTGAGTGAATGGTTATTTATGTGTCCCATGGACTGGAGACCTGTCCAGGGTGTCCCCCGCCTCCTGCACCGTGATCGCTGGATAGGGGCACTGGTGGCCCTTGCAACCCAAAATGGAAGAAGCGAGTAAAGATAATGAATGGATGGATCTCTTGGATTTTTGTCTGTAATTATTTGATTTCTCGTCAAATATTTGACCCCGCCTTCATTCACCTACCTGCCGCAGCTCCAAACACAAGACCAACTTGCAGGAAGTCATGTTTTTCACATCACATATTTATGTCATCCTTTATTCATGCAGGACTAAAAATATTGCACCAAAACAAACCTTTCAAAAGCAGAAGATGCACTGATCTCAGGTGCCACTTTATGGTTCAGGACAATCACCTGTTTCATGTTTGAAGCATGTTTGGAACTTTCGGTGAACTATTCAGTCACTGGTCCTGCTGCTGAAAACCCCAGAGCCGTGCGCTGCTGCAGACTTTTCCAAGGAGTTATTTTTATTTTTATATTGATTTGTTTTCGTTGATTCAGTGAATTAAGGTCAAGGGGGATGCATACTGTAATTTTCGCCGTACTTGTCGCACTATTTGTTTGCTCAAAATTATAGTAAAGGTGTGTCTCAGTTGAACTTTTACTTAATAAATGCACTTTGACGGTCAAATCAGTTGCATTTCAAAAGCCGATAAGCAGAAACAGGAATGCGCAGAGGGACGACTTGCTGTGCATTTCTTCGAAATTTAACAAGATAACCACCTAAAACAATTGTTTGTTTGCTTGAAATTATAGGTGTGTCTCAGTTGAACTTTTACTTAATAAATGCACTTTATTGGTCAAAGTAGCTGCATTTCGCCATGGCGGTGCAGCAAAATGAAGCTGAGGTTGCTCCAAGCAGTGAGCAGAACGAAGGTGGGGTGTATGGCATGCCGATTGTGTCATTAATAGCTGGTGAAGATTCTCAATCATCTAGGACATGGTAAATTCAAAAAAGTTCAACACAAAATAATAAAGTATAAAGTAAAGTATAATAAATAAAGTCCAGTTCTTTTTGTCTTGAACTTTTTTGAATTTGTCATTATAGCCACGTTTACCTATTACATGGTACAACAGCATGCCATACTACTACTACCACTACTCTGCTGCCATCAGGTGGCTGGAACTAGTACTGCTCAATTTTTCCCTGTCAGAATGAATGAAAATAGTCATATCTCAGCCAAAAATTGGCTTATAAATATGGAAACAAAATCCATAAATATGTCGCTTCAGCCTATAAGTCGCAGGGCAAAAAAACAACAAAACCAAAAAAAAAACCAACAACCCATGACTAATAGGCCAAAAAATATGGTATTTTCTGCAAAGCTGAGCTCAAACTATAGTTTACACTTTATAATCCTTTCAAAATAAACTACGATAGTGGAGGGTTGTGTTGTAGCAGTGACAGAGCTAGACTTTTATACAAGGGTGGCTAAGGCTTTTTCAGGGGAGCACATGCAAATAAAGGAACCTATTTTGTACAATATTTTATGATACATTCACATCAATCTTTACTGATATCTTAAAAAAAGTAAAAAATCACAATATGCATGTAAAGTCTTTATTGTTGTTTTCATGAACATTTGCCTTACTGTTTCTTAAATCAAATTTTAATTTTGTTCCATGCCAGTTCGATGTTAAAGATTGACCACTAAATGCGACCATATTTATGTTACTGGCACTTAACTCAAAATTAATGTACACAATTACTGCTGTATTAGTCCAGTGGTTCAGAAAAGTATTTGCTTTCCTCATCATATTAATAGGTCCTCTACACGCCTAACAAGACGGACGCTCGACAGATGTTTAGTCTGTATTCTTCATTTATATTTGCGCTTCTTTCAATGCTACATGCAGTGACTTGTCAATCAACTGAGGTGGCACTTGGAGTGGCCACTCAGCTTTCAGGGGTGACAGATGCCACCCCGACCACCCCTCTATCTTCGCCCCTGTGCTGTAGGTGTTTGAAAAAAAAAGCATCCAAACTGGAAAATGTTAGGAAACAACTTGATGTGTCAGGTGCAGGCGTAAGAACAAAAGACTGTCACAATGGTTTGGATTTGCCCAGTTTAGCTTGTCTTGAGATATTTGAAAACCACTTCCCATTTCTACTACAATCTACACAGCCTATTGATGGATGGCTGACTGTAAATTTGGAATACCTACAGTGAAGGAAATCATAACACTGCTTAGTATTTGTTTCTTCTCTTGTTCTTGAGATGCTTTTCCATGTCCTGGCACAGTTTTCTCAGAAATATACAAAATATACAACTTCTGATGAGAATTTGAAGGTAACAGTGATCAGAAAGCAAAAGTTGGTGCAACTTCATTTGAGTTTAATGTGAGATGAATAAAGGTTGGACTTTTCCTGCTCTTAATTAGACAAGCAATATAAATTTGTCCCGTAAACCTGAACTGTTCACTGCCTGACATAAACTCACCAAGAGAGAGCGACAGTGTTACTTTTTTTCTTAAATATATTTGTTTTAGTGACTCAAATATGTCCTCCTAAGCACAAAAAAGTTTTTTTTTTTTTTTTACAACAAATTTGAGTAAAAAGTCAAATTCTAGCTAAGTTAACTTCAAAAGTAATGTCAAAGGTCAAAATAAGTTATTTTGAAGTTTGCATTTGAATCTGGACTGTTACTTTATAGAAAAATAAATCCTAGAGAGAGTGTTCGGAGACTTGACATTTTAAGAGTCTGCTTTAGTCAGCTGGAGCTGCAGCTGGATTCACCTAAACCTTCGTAACAAATATAAAAATTGACTGTCACAAGTTACACACACACACACACACCAAAAAAAAAAAATCAGACCAGACTTTTTATTTATTAAATTTTTTTAAATCTTGTTTCAAAGCCTATTTTAAAAGCTAAAAAAAGAACAGCTAAACTAAACACGAACGTTTAACTCTCTTTTTTATTCTTGACGCTGTTACTATTTCTGTCCATTTTCCACCTTGTTTGTCAGCCAAAGTACAATCAGTCAGAAAAAGAAATACATTTTTAAAAAATTAGTTTTGAACTTGGTATTTTTGTAACTCTTATGGAACTATTAGGGTTGAAAAGCATTATTGTCTCATGTTCAATACACAAGGTTGTAGAAACAATAAAGTATTAATGGCAGATATTAAGTACTTTTATATCTTTTCAAACTTTTTTTGAAACAATTTCTTTTTATTGATTTTTTTTTTCATTTTTTATAACACAGAACAAATTGACAGAACAAGAACAAAAACAAAAAAAAAAACCTCCCACACCATCCCTCCCCCACCGGATCAGCCACACATACATGAACAGAATTAAATCAAACAGATATTGACAAGTTCTCCACATATAACACAAAGATCTGCCACATGTCCCAGAATGTTTTTACAGAACTCTTCGGGGTATGTCTTGTTTTTTCCAAATACTTATGGTACATCACCTCTCTTATCCAACGTACATATGTTGGAGGGTGTGGGTCCTTCCAGCTGCACAAAATCAGCCTCCTGGCCAAGAGAGAGCCAAAGGCAATGATATCCCTCTCGCATCTGCTGAAGGGCATATCCACATGGACCACCCCAAACTGTGAGAATAACTTTTTTCATTCAACCTTTATTTAGACAGGCAAATCCCATTGAGCCTCGAGGACTCATTTACAAGAGAGACCTGATTTCAACAAAGAAAGATGACAACAATGGACAACAGCGACAACAATAAACAGTTATAAAAAGTCATACAAATTTTATTTTATTTTTTTAACAAATAGGATGGCTAAAAAAAGAAACGCAACAAAAAACAGCTAGATTCTAAGGCGAATGTAGAAAACTAAAAACAGGAACATGTCTGCATTGGTCCCTGCCAGGAGTCCAACAGATTCTTAAAGTCACTTAGAGAGGTCAAGGTCGAGAGCTTCAGATCTTTTTGTAAGAAATTCCAGGAAACAGGAGCAGAGTAGGAGAAGGCCCTTTTGCCAAGTTCGGTTCTCACTGAGGCAACACTGCAGGTAATAATGTCCTGAGAGCGCACGCTGTAGCTGCACTCATGCAGAGACATGTAGTAGGAGATGTATGAAGGCAGCAGACCAAGTGTTTTAAAGATGAAAATGTACCAGTGAGAGAGTCTGCATGAAGTTAATGATGTCCAGTTAACCAGTGAATACAGGGTGCAGTGGTGGGTACGATAATCACAGCCAGTTATGAATCTTGTGCACCATGATAGACAGCATCCAACATCTGCAGGGTTTTTACCATACCACTTTACATATTTATAGAGCACTTAAAACAGCAACAAGGCCAACCAAAGTGCTGTACAGACAAAACAACAGGTAAAACACAAAGCAATATACAAAATGAGGTAAATCAGAATATAGACATAAAAACAATGCAGATAATGACGACAAACCAGTGTGGAGTATACAGGATCAAAACACAGATCATCTGGTGTTGAAAGCCACCGAATAGTAGTGGGTTTTTAAAAGGGACTTGAAAACCGAGAGGGAGGGGGCCTGTCTGACAAGCAGAGGTAACTCGTTCCAAAGTCTAGGTCCTGCTACAGAGAAGGCCTTGTCACCTCTGCGCTTAAGACGAGATCCTGGAACTGTGAGGTTCTTGTAGGAGCGTTCATGTAAATAATGTCACCGTAATCAATGGAGGGAAGGAAGGTCACAGATACAAGGCATTTCCTAGCATTCAGGGTTAGACAAGATCTGTTTCTGAAAAAGAAACCCAGTTTAACTTTCAGTTTCTTTACCAAGTTTTCCACATGGAGCTTAAAAGAGAGATGCGAATAGACCAAGATACCCAAATATTTATAGGAATCAACAAACTCAATCGGGACACCATTTGAGGATGAAATCAGACTGTGTCATCAGCATAGAAATGTATGGATGCATCAGGGATGTTTTTACCAACATTATGTATGTAGATTGTAAAGAGGGTGGGTTCTAAGACTGAGCCTTGTGGTACACCATTGTTGACTGTTAATAACTGGAGGAAGTGCCATTATGTTGAACACATTGCCTCCGGTCTGAGAGATAGTTAGAGAACCAACCAATGGTGTGATCTGAGAAACCGATTTCTGAGAGCTTATGACACAAGATGTTATGATCCACAGTGTTATAAACTGATCTCAAAAGAATAGAGATGAGTATACAGTTTTGCCACATATTCCAGAGAAGGTGTCAAATATAGATTGCCAAAAAGTCTGCAGCTTGGTACAGGTCCAGAATGTATGCAGGAGTGTAGCTGGAGTTTGTTTACAACAATTGCATGCGGGGTCCAGGTCGGCTTTGATCTTTTCAAATGTTTGTTATAACTAATGTTTTGTTTTTAAGCCTACAAGGAAGCAACTAAAAAACAAACTGTCTGTACTATAACTTCAGTAAATTACAGCGTAATTGCAATAATTTGTTCCCAGACTCAGAGACGGATTAAATAAAAAATTTTCAAACTTGTTAGGCAAGCTATAGCTTCTCTTTGTGGTCTTGGCTTCACTGAAGCCACCTGACCGGCGTGGTTGAGGTGTCCACACAGTGAAAGTTCAACCCAACTGCCATCTTTTACTCTCAGAAATTAAAAGGATTTACACCTAAAAGTCAGTTTAACTTAAAAACAATCAGCTAGTCTATAGAACAAGGCTCTTAACTAAACTGAGGGAGTAGATGTTGCTGGTTGAGAGCCTTGATCAAGGGCAATGAGTCCTTGTGCAATGAGGGTGGTGCCTGGGTTGAACCCCAATAAGGGTGGAGGCAAGTGTGGGTGTTTCACCTTTCCCACCCACATGGAGTTGAGCCAGCGATCTTCTGAACCCAGAACTCTCCTAATAGTAAGTTTCTTTCGGCTTCTCTCTTCTTCAGGGGTTGCCACAGCGAGCAAACTCACATGAAATATTTAGCAGTTGTTTTACATTGGATGCCCTTCATGATGCAACCTGGGCTCGAACCTGCAACCTCAGTATTACAAGACCATGGCACTGACCACCGAGCTACTGCAGCTGTTGTTGTTCACATATTATTCTTCTAAACGTAAAAAAACAAACACCAAAAAATAAACAAGCCAAAATGACTTTATCATTTCTGTTAGGTGAGGATACATATCCAGGTAACAGTGTTTTTGGATATTACTATATATGTGCAATACAATATAAATAAATTTTTTAAAATTTATTTTTCTTCATCCACACATTCTAACAATGAACAAAACATGAAAAAGAAACATTCTTAGTCTGCAAGATAAAAAAAAAAATCTTAATTGTATTCCTTTGATCTCGTTTTACTGTTTTCTCTCAGTTTTGAACCATTTCAGCACATCTATATTTTAATGTTGCATGCTGACAATCTGGTACAAAAAAACCAAAAAAAAAACCCAACAGACTGGCAAAGATGAGGCTTTAAAGAGATAGTCTATTTCTAAAGTGACTTTCTGTAAAATGTTTATCAATAGTTAGGTCTTTATCAGACGTGACAGAAAAAAAATAGCCAAATGAGGAACTTGTTATAGAAGCTTAAAAAACATTGTAAAACTTCAGCCTTTATCAAAGCCTGGAGGAAGACTTCTGCACTTTTCTTCTCACTGTGTTCTGTTTATTAATGTCTTCCAAGGTTGATAATACCTACTGATAAATATTTGACAGCACACTACTTGAAAATTGACGAAACTCTCCTTTTATTCAGCTTTGTATCATCCCTTGCTGTGGCTGCTCCTATAAGACAACAAATGGCTGAATTAATCGTCTGACCAATCAGTTGGTCTAGCTCCAGCATGAACATTAAATTTAGAAATGATCACAAGCTATTTTTAAATCAAAGATGAACACAGCATGCTAGTTATAAATCGCACTATTTTTATTAAGGTGTTCTGTTTTTTGGATTTCTTGCCTATTTGACGAAGGCCCAGTTAGGATGTCCACAGGTTTGAAGAGCTTTTGTGATGTGTTTCTGTTCCTTCTGTCTTTGTGGGGACATTTTCATTTTTCATTGCGCCTTTATTTAACCAGGCATAAACACTAAGAACAAATTCTTATTTGCTGGCCTGGCAGCACCAACAGGAAGGCAAAACCATGAAACATAGAAGTCATTAACAAGAAAGGAAACACAAATTACATTAACAACAGTTCATTGTCAAAGTCAAACGACATCATTATGACAACGTTTGCAAGTATCTGTAAAAACGGCTTTCAAACGATTTTTAAGTGACGTCAGACCCAAATGTTTTTGAAGCAGTTCCAGTCAGATGGAGCAGCAGAGGCAAAGCCAGACTTGGTCTTTAGAGTTTAGACATGCTCATTCATTCATTCAACCTTTATTTAGACATATAAGTCACATGGAGCCTAGAAGACTCATTCACAAGTGAGATCTGTTTAAACAGACAAAACATAGTGAAACTGGACACATGTAGGAATTGGAGGCAAAAATATTCCTATCAGACTTTTTATTTTTGCCTGAGAATAAAAACTCTGATATTAAAAAACACCTCGCACAAACAAGCACATAGTGACGTAGACATTCCGCAGAGGGGGTGAGACGTCGAGAGCGGTGAGCATGTTCATGGATGCTCTTAAGGACACTGTAAGAGTTCTGATAAGGATGTAATAATCAGTCAGCTTCCTCTGGTGAGATCCGTAAACATTCTCAAGGGATGTCAGGGAATGGCCAAGGACAACACATATGGGAATCCAAGAGTCCTGAAATGATGACACAATGTTTATTCAGCTGGTTTCTTCTTGTTGATCAGCTGGAAATTCCTCAGGGAGGGGGTGGTGAGCGTCAGATCACATGTTTTCCAAGTGAATTCAGATAAGATGGCCTTCAAGGCAGCCAAGGGAGCCAAATTCAGATAAACACACAGTTGTTTTGGGGACAGGCAGAACTTAATGACATCTACCTCGAGTCTGTGTTGGTCCACTCGGTTCTGTAATGTCCAAATTACATGGCTATACCGATGGAACGTGACTGAGTAAAATCCCCAAGATCTGATCTATTCTGCACAAAGCATTTGAGTCTGGGTACTCGAGGCACGAACCAAGCCATCATAAGGCAAGCAGCATGATCAGGTCATAATTTGCTGCCGACGCCTTCCTTGATTGTTGATAAAACCAGCAACCAGCCGAATCCAAAAAGCAGGAACCAGTTATCGTAAATCCAATTAAACACGCGTCCTTAAAATCCACAAATGGCAGCAGAGATAGACACATCATCAAGTCTTCCAAGTCGATGAGATATCCAGCTGCGTGCATGCCAACAGGGCAAATCGGCTTGCCTAAAGCCTGTCTTCTCTTCGAAGAAATGTTATCAATTGTGTTGTGGGACCAACTGATCAAAACAAATCCATAATTATGGTTTGGAAGATATGCAAGAGAGGCTCAGAAGCAGTTTGACAGACAGACAGAGCAGCAAAGCAAAGTGGAGAGGGAGGGGAGGGGAAAAACATCCGACCTCAGCAAGAGCAAGTGGCAGCGCGATGGTGTCACATTCTACTGAAAGAAAGTTTGTGTTCCAGTGGGTGGTGAGAGTCAAACTGAAGGTTCTTTCCTGTACACTTGAACGTTGAGGCTTCAATCTCTTTCCATATAAATGCTGATTTGTTTCGTGTCACGTTTGAATTGATAAAGTCTCCCGGATGGGAAGCTAACCGTCTTCAGCTTCAGAATATACTAAGTCCACTTGTTTGAGTTTCATAACCTGTTTTTTTAATTAATCATGACCTGGATGAGTGAGAATCTTCACAAGCATAACTCAATAAAAATAAAAGCTTTCTACTTAAATTTACTTTCACCCACAGACGTTTACTTGAAGTTGACTTCAATCTGTTTTTGTTAAACATCCAAAATGAGTAGGTTTATAAGGACAAGTTGGGAAGGCTCACTCCTCATATCCCTGACATCTGATATCAGAGCGAGTGGAGGTGACTTCACAGCTGCTGGTCTGAGCAGCTAGAAAACACTGTTCAGCAGCTGAAGGTGAAGCCTCAGTCTCTTCTCATAAACACCTTCTCAGTGCCACGCTGATGCTCTGCCACTCTCTACGATTACGCTGTGTATCATCCCGCTGACACTCTGAATATTTCATGATCAGACAATGTAAAAAAAGAAAAAAAACAAGCGGCACTCACAGACCAACAAATCAATAGTTGGTGCAAATCTCTAAAACCATTCTGACGCTGGTTGCAGAACGTGGTGTCGAAGAGCGCTCTTCAGTTCAGAGGAAACTCTCAGCACGACGCCCAGGAATTCCTCCTCTGGTTGCTGGACAGAGTCCATGAAGACCTCAACCAGATCATCCACCCTGACAGCAGACTCCCCCTGAAGGTCAGGAGCAAAACAGATGTGTGACTGCTACAGCTACTATACACTGAGTTAATGGAAAACATCGTCTTGTCTTGTCTCATCAGCCTCCAGTGGAGGAGGAAACGGCTCCTGAAGGATCTCCGCTACCAGCACCTGGCTCTTTTGTACAGGAGCTGTTTCAGGCACAATACAGGTATGAAGATTCATTTCAATCGGTCCATTATACACTTTATTCTCTTGGCTTAATTTCTGGTGGGTGAATACTAGGCCTGTCGCGATAAACAATAAATCAAATTAATCGCATGATAAATGAAAATTATCTACCTATTTTCATTTATCGGCTTTATCACTTCTTCATGTCTCTCTCTTTCTACTGAAGACACTGGATAACAAAAGGCTCCACTCCAGTGCTCATCACTGACCCCTCCCTTTCTCGTTAAAATCCATTTAACCGTCCAGAATCACGTTTTTGGATCGTTAAATGCAGCTATGTTGAGAAGCTAAGCTACGAGCTAAGCTAACAGGACGACCTCGGGAAAAATCCTCCGTCTTTTCGAAGTTCTAAAATTCACGGTTGAAACTCGTGCCTTTGTGTAAAAAGTTGTTCTTCTCTGCAAAAAGAAGCTGAGAACTTGTTTACTGATTATTTTATTGTGTGAAAAATGCTATGCTAAAGAGCTCAAACCACATTGAGTGTCTGCCACTGAGGACTGAAAAAACCCAGGAAGGAGAAACAGCCCATGTCACGTCAAGAGGTCTCCCTCCCTTTTTTCTTAAATAGACACGCTGCTCGCTCCCTCACTATCCATCCTTCGGTTCAAACAGTCTTATACTGCCATCCAGTGTTCAAAAAAAGTACTACACAAAAAATTACCAACATTTCTTCTTAAGTTTGACAATAATGACTAATTATTGTTAAATTTCAAACAATATTATTGTTTATCACAATAATTTCTGAGACAATTAATCACCCATCAAAATTTGTTATCATGACAGGCCTAGTGAATTCACAAACCTTTGTTTGGACCGAGGCTGGGGTTTGTTTGCTGCTACGCTGTTGTTCATCTATGGTTTCCCTAAAACCTCCAGTCTGAGGCCTGGATTTAAAAAGCTTCAGTTTTAGAGAAAACAAAACTGTTGTTGTGTAAATGAATAACTGAACCACAGCAGGAAAGCTACGATTTTACTCAAAATGGGTGTTGTGTAAACTGGGCCTTAATCAATTAAATACAAATAAGAAAGTCTAGCTTCTTAAAATCCAAGTCCAAAAACCACAACTCAAGCCGTTGGCACAGTTTTGAATATCTACACAGCTGATTTTTGTTTCATCTGTCAAACTTTGCAGATCTCGTGTGTGACATTCACACTACTGAAAGTAACTGATGACATCAGATGTTTTTACCTGCCGCTTAAAATAAAGTAAAGCTGTAAGGACTGGTATGAATAACAGCCCCTTAAAGTTTCAGAGTCAGTCCTGACAGAAACCATCATTTGTAATAGTGGGACCTAAACACATAAAAGTGTTCTTGATTGTAATGAGGACCATTTGTTGCAACACTGAATCACAATTATCTAAGCTGAATGATAATTTTATAATACAATAGTCCCCCATTTATTGTGGGGGTTACATTCTGGACACCCCCCACCCACCCCCACCCCCAGCAATAAGTGATAATCCACGAAGTAGCGACGTTATATTTATTTTAGTATTTATAAACCCTTCCCACAATCTTGCAATGTGCTAAACTCTTAAACCTCTGTCATTTTAACAACATACGTACAGTACTGTATACGTAGCTACTAAATTTTACTCAGCAGAACAGCAGTGGCTCGGTTCTGCTCAGTTCCGGTCCGACTCGGTTCTGATCCAACCCGGTTCTGTTTCTGCAGGCCTACCCTGCAGCGACGAAGCCCACAATGTTCTAAACTCATAAACCTACTAATTTTAACAACATTATTACATGGAGCTACTAAATTTTACTCACCAGCTGTCAGAACAGCAGCAGCTCTCAGTTCTGCTCCAGTTCTGACCCGGTTCTGTGCAGCTGTTGAGTGTCAAAGCGAATTTTGGGGTGGGGCTTCAGGTGGCCTGATAAAGAGATTTAAAAAAAGTCCCGGTGTGCTCCTGCTCGGAAGTCCTCGTGGGCCGGCTACCAGCTCTCGGATTCACCTATGGGTCTGGAGGTCCGGTTTTGCTCTGGTTCTGGTCCGGTTCCTGGTGGGTTCCCTACGGCTCTCTGAATCCGCTGGGCGCTGAAGTTGCTGTATAGTTAATAAGCACCAAACTTTTTTCCGGATCAGATCCAAAATTTCCCTATACATATTTCAGCAGAAGGCAACGGGGCTTCTGGGAAATGTAGTTCGTATCGTATGTGTGGCGATACAGTGTAGGCTTATTGAGAGAAAACTACAAAATGGCAGCGCCTGTCCAAAGTACTTTATTTTTTCATTAACTTTTTACTGTACAGCATCCCGCACTGTCTCAACCACGTGAGTAATATTAAAGTTGTCAATTGTGCGTCGTGTACAATTTATTTTCCCTTCCTGCTCAATCTGACTTTGAAAAACCGCGAAAGAGCGAGTCGGTGAAAGTCGAACTGCGAAGTAGTGAGGGACTGCTGTATTAGCATCAGTTATTTCTTTTCATCGTTATAACAACAGCTGAATTCAGCTACTAGAACTCTGTATTTATTTTTTTGCTGTTTTGATGCTTTTTACCACCTAAACCCTAGTTTTGCTTCAAATAGAGAGCTTTTGTCCAAAAGAAAATGATCTTACAACTCCATGCTAATAAAAATTTCATTTAAGTTAATGTCTTCTCCTCATTTGTCTGTTTAGGTCCTCCCTGACCTGTCCTCACTGCCAGAAGCAGAGCAACACATTTGATCCTTTCCTCTGCATCTCACTGCCAATCCCAGTACCTCACACCCGGTAAGCCGTCTCTGGAGCTCGCTTATCAATAAATTCTTGCGAACCTGGTCATGAAAGGAGTGTCAGATCCAACAACGTGTGGGAGGATGACGCTAAATTTAGACGCTGTCGTCTATTTTTGAAACATCCAGCACAGGCCTTTGTTTAAAAAAACAAGCAAACAACAACCAAAAAAAACAGCCAAATAATGAAAGCTGTTGTGTTTTGCAGACCTCTGTATGTGACGGTGGTGTACCAGGGAAAGTGCTCACACTGTATGAGAGTCGGGGTGGCCGTGCCTCTCTCGGGCACCGTGTCCAGGTTGAGACAAGCTGTGGCGCAAGAGACCAAAATCCCCGCCCAACAGGTGCCGCCTCAGGCCATTACTTTCTGACATAAGTTGCTGAAATTGACCAGGGTGCTGAAAAGTTGTGCTATATGAAGGACTAGATGTCAGTATTAGATGCTTTGCTGTGCTGCTCCTCTTCCATCACCGCTGTTGTCAGCATTCGTAGTGTGCGTGTGACTAATTGTGAGCAGTCAGCCCACATGGTGTTTTTGTTTGCCGTCTCCTGCAGATTGTCCTCACCGAAATGTACTTTGACGGCTTTCACCGCTCCTTCTGCGATGACGACGAAGACCTTGAGATCATTCAGGAGAGCGACTCCATCTTCGCCTTCGAGACGCCCGAGCTATTCAGACCGGAGCAGATCCGCTCCATGCGAGGCGGTACAATAGCTTCTATTTTCTCCTTGATTATGAGCGTTGCTCTTTTATGACAGAGAGATGTCAGAAAGCTGCGACACGTGCTGTTTGTGTGCGTGTTTTGTTTCAGGCAGCCCACATGCAAACCTCAATCAGAACAACCTGAAGTACGGCACGGATAATAACAGGATATCCACGCAGATCCAGGAGTCAACAACACCACCGCAGAGTCCCAATAAGAACAGCGGGCAGGCTGAGAAGATTGTGCTGATGGTGTGCAACAGAGCCTGCGCTGGGCAGCAGGGACGCAGGTACCTCACCTGAACAGCAGTCAATATGAGATAGAATCTTTTAAGGTTTTAAAACGTTGCTGTTTGTGTCATTCCTGCAGGTTTGGGAATCCTTTTATTCTCTATATGGAGCGTACAGTAACGTGGGATATACTGCAGACAGAGATCTTGGAGAAGATGAAGCATCTTTTGCGCCCTGGTGTCCTTGTGCAGGTGCATGTCCATATCAACGCTCCAAAGTTTAGTGATGATATCCTTTTAACATTTATGTTCAGAGTTGAATGATGTGTTCTCTTTGATGGCCTGCAGGTGGGGCCCTTCACTCTGCGTGTGGTAGGAGTGGTTGGAATCACTTATCTGCTGCCTCAGGAGGAGCAGCCTCTCTGCCATCCCTCTGTGGAGAGGTAATGCCAGCTGCGACCACTAGGGGGCAGTGTTACCTTACAGAAATAATCCAGCTGTTCAGAACTATCCATCCATCCATCCATTTTCTTTACCCGCTTATTCCATTTTGGGTCACGGGGGTCGCTGGTGCCCATGTCCAGCAATCACTGTGCAAGGGGCGGGGTACACCCTGGACGGGTCGCAAGTCCATCACAGGGCCACATAGAGACAAACGAGACAAACAACCATTCACTCTCTCACTCACACCTAGGGACAATTTAGAGTTACCAATCTGCCTAACATGCATGTTTTTGGACTGTGGGAGGAAACCGGAGTACCCGGAGAAAACCCACGCATGCACGGAGAGAACATGCAAACTCCACCCAGAAAGGCCCCTGGACCGGGGTTTGAACCAGGGACCTGCTCGCTGAGAGGCGGCTTGTTTATTTTAAACATAATTTAATCTAATAACAGGCATTTGTACTTGTCGCATGGAATGCAGCTTGTTTTTGTTTCGTTTTAATATCACTTCTTTTAGGTCTCTCTTGTAAATGAGTCCTCGTGACTCAATGAGACTAACCTGTATAAATAAAGGTGGTATGAAAAATCAAGGTTGTATTGAAAAGATTGAGAACAATGTTGCATTAGAACATCTGATGATGCATAGATAAACCTAAGAACGCTTGTTTTTAAAATAAATTAGAGCCTATTTAGTTTTCCAAAGTTATTATTTTTTATTATGTATTATTAACCTTTTATTTACCCAGGCTAAAAATTTGTTTATTATAAGTTGGTGGTAAAATACGTTGTTAAATATAATCTTAGCACAAGTAAAGATATTTGAGTTTGGATGATGACTTTTTGTTGTAACAATGCATTTGTTAGGTAAAGGCATTTGTGAGTTGAGCAGCAGACTTGTGTGTGTAGGCCACAAATCTTCTTACTTTTTGTGCTTTGTTTATATGCAGAAATGCTAACGCTGACTTTTAATGCCAACCTGAAGTGGACATTTCCTCAAAATCAGTCTTCATTGTCACAATTCTACTTTAAACGATAAGTCTTCTGTTCAAATTTCCAACAGAGCATTCAAGTCCTGCGGCCCAGGAGGGCCACCTCATGTCAAAATCGTGGTTGAATGGGACAAAGAGACAAAAGACTAGTAAGTGACAAACTCAAGACGATCTCCTCATTAAGCCCAGAGCAGATGTGCAAGGTGGTACACCTCCTGTCAGACTTAACCAATCTTTGTCGTCCCTCTGTGACTGGTGCTGTGTCACGCCCACAGTCTGTTCAAAAGAACCGAGGATGAGTACATACCGGATGCTGAAAGTGTCCGACAAGTGAAGGAGCAGCATCTGCAGCCTCAGACCTGCACGCTGGCCCAGTGTTTGCAACTATACACCAAAGAAGAGCAGGTAAACTGTAACAGGCCGTGTTATATGTTTTATCACACAAACCATCATTTACTATTTATTTTTAATTTTAAATATGATTTCAGCTTGCTCCTGATGATGCATGGCGATGTCCACATTGTAAGCAGCTTCAGCAGGGCAGCATCAAACTCAGTCTGTGGACACTGCCAGACATCCTCATCCTCCACCTGAAACGCTTCAGACAGGTGATGCTAGTGGATTTGTTGGATCATTTTATCTTGTATTAGTTTAAAAAAATGTTTTTTTTTTTAAATTTTTATAACTTGTTTCTTCAGGACGGGGATCGACGAGTGAAGATGCAGAACATGGTGAAGTTCCCACTCACAGGCATGGACATGGCACCCCACATAGTGAAGAGGAGCCAGAGCAGCTGGAGTCTTCCCTCCCACTGGTCGCCATGGAGACGCCCTTACGGGATGGGGCGCGACCCAGAGGACTACCTGTATGACCTGTACGCAGTGTGCAACCATCACGGCACCATGCAGGGGGGGCATTACACAGGTAACGGTGGTCTTAGTGATGTTTTAAACTGGTTGTTCTTTCACAAAAACACCCCATGGTGTTTTTAATGGTTTTGTTCCATTGTGTGTTGTAGCTCACTGTAAGAACTCCATTGATGGACAGTGGTATTGTTTTGACGACTGCGATGTTCATCCCATGTCTGAAGATGAAGTCTGCAAGCAAACTGCCTACATCTTGTTTTATCAAAGACGTGCAACGATCCCATCCTGGTCTGCCAACAGTTCTGTAGGAGGTAATTTATCATGACCTCTTGTTTAGTTCTTGGCTTATCTTAAGTATAAATTATAAAACAAATTTCAATTATGTTTACATACGTATTTTTTGTCTTGAACTTTTTTGAATTTACATATGTTTGTCACTTCTGCTTTTGGGTATAATAGACTTTTTTAAGTTTGGTCTGTTTTGTCCAAATTATTGAGAGAATCAGGCACCAAAAGCAATTCGATATGCACTGTAAAAAATTAGAGTTCATTTAACTCATGCAATAAAAAAAAAATAAAAAAATATATATATTGATAACTGTGAGATGATCTTCTAATGATTAGTCTATCTAAAATGAAACATGCATGAGAGACATACATACCTTTGGGTTGTGATCCTTGCAAAAAGATCTGAAGCTCTCAACCGTCAACTCTTTAAGGGATTTTAAACATCTGCTAAGTTCATGGCAAAAACCAACACAGACATGTTCCTGTTTTTAGTATTTTGCATCGCTTTATAATGTAGCTCTTTTTGTTTCTTTTTTTTAAATATATATATAATTTCTTCCATTTGCTTTTCATTTTATATGCTTTTTTATGATTGTCTACTGTTGTCATCTGTGCTCGTTATTAAAACAGGTTCCTCGTGTAAATGAGTCCTCGAGACTCAATGAGACTAACCTGTATAAATAAAGGTTGAATTGAATTGTATTATTTTGTATCAGTTGGTTATAAAACGAAATCTGGAATCCGTGTGGATACATTTCTTGAAAAATAAAGGCAACATCAACATTTTAACTGTGTAAAATTTGTATTGAAACCTCCCTTACTGATAAAATCAATTAAAACGTTTTTAATATATTATATGTAGTTTAACATTATTTGTGTGAATATACAAATCAGTGGTTATCCAATAAAAATGCATGGATTAGAGTACTGGAAGTAAAATGTTTGATCAAGTAGCCTTTTTAACACTCGACGCATAAACTTTAGGTCTAAATTTTATTTTATTTTTTCAAATTAGGAAATAAATTTAATGTATTGGTAATTTAATGTCCATGACTTGAATTCTTCTTCGTAATAAAATAAATAAAAATCTAAATACTATAAGTTGGGAACACCTGGTTTACATGGGATCTGTGCTGAAACAGTATCTTCTTGGGCTTTCAGGTTCCACCAGTTCTTCTCTGAATGAACACTGGATAAGTCGGCTGATGGGAAGCCGTCCACCCAGTCAAGCCTCATCTGGTTCCTCAAGGCGCACTTCCTTGGCTTCCCTCTCTGAGTCCGCTGAGTTTGCTGGTGAAAGGAGCGAGGATGATGGTGAAGAGCAATTGATGAAAATACAGTTGTTTTTATTTTTGGTGGTGAGGGGTGGGGCTTATTTCTATTGTGTCTTAAGTGTCAAGCAGGTTTTCTCAAAAATGTTTTTTTCCAGGCTCTTTTTTCATTTCCTTCATATTTCTTCCAAACTTGCAGGTCTTTCAGTCCGACAAGCAGTCAGAGGCATTCAAAGGCAAACGTTCTCTTCAAGATCTTCTATCGCCAGCCCGCTTGCTCTGAGTGAAAATGGATCCAAACCATCCTGGTCCCACTCGGCTAAGCTTCAACTGCGCTCCAACTCTCCTTCAAGGTTCTCCCTGGAGTCCCACTCCTCTCCAACACTGGAGAGGATAGGAGAGGTGGTCGATAGCCAGCTGACAGATTTGTGTTTTACTGTGTCCCCTAAACCTGAGAAAATGTCAGGAGGAAAGTCCATTCTTGCTGCTTTGGACAATAATGTTGGCAGTAGGAGGTTGATAGAGCAGGGGTACCTCAAGAGTGTTGCACAGGCAGAGCATCGGAGCTCGATCCAGACAGGGAAAAACAGCAATGTTACTGCTGCTGAGCAGGTAAGTCCTAGACATGGAGTGGCACCAAAGGATCTAAAGCAAAGAAATGGAATGGCAGATAGCAATGGTGTCAAAAGGACATCATCCAAGACAGGGGTAGAGAGTGAGAGAAGTCCCAAAAAACGTCCTGCCACCTCCTCAACATCATCCAGCTCTCTGTCCCCTGCTTCTCCAGCCATTGAAAAGTCACCATCTCGAACACAGTCCAAGGGTGCAGCAATGGCATCAAACCCCAGGGACAGAAGCAGTGGACCACCTAAAACAAGCAAGGGTAGTTCCTCAAGAACAGCAACGCCATCCAAGAAAGTGACCTCCCAAACCCCAGAGATGTTACATCCTGATCCATCGCAAAGGAAGAGTGGTTCTCTAGGGTTAGAAAGCTCACACTCTCAGAGGAGGCCATCACCCAGAGGGGGCACTGAGAAAAACCCAGCTGCAGAAAGGACTAGAGCAGCAGACAGGAGTGCTAGCCGTGAATCCTCACGAGCAAAAACAGCGTCAGATAGGAAAGTTAGCCATGGAGGGCCTCCTTCCAGGTCAAGCGGTTCTAGTAGAACAGAGACAAGGCCAGGCAGGGCTGTTGAAGACAGGGCAACAGGCCGAACCTCAAGCAGTAGCTCGTCCATTACTAGTCTTCGATCTTCAAGTGTAGGCATTTCCTCAGGTAACACAGCTCAACCTCCGAGGGGAACTCGAGGGAACAGTAAGACAGAAGACAAAGGTTTGTCCTTCTTTAAAACCGCTCTGAGGCCCAAGGAGAACCGTAAACCAAGTGAAAGTGGGAAACCAGAGCCGGGACAACCAAAAGGAAGTCCAGACGATGAGGATGCAACAAGGGAAGCGCTCTCTGGTGGGGCGAGCAAAAAAGCCCAGAATGCAGGTTTAGAACTTCCAAACAGTGTGACTACAGCCAAAGATAAGGAATCCTCTAAAGTATCAGCTGCAACTAAAAACTCACTGTTGCCCTCCACAAAATCTAAGCTCTCTGAAGCACAAACAATCACTCAGTCTTCTGCCACCGCTAAGGACTCTTCAAAGAAAGAGCCTGCTAAAAAGACATTACAGTCCAGGAAGATCCCCATAAGTTCTACACAGACTAGCCAGAGATCCAAGTGATGCATCTTTAAGGGTCTGAATCTGATCTTTCTAGTGCAGCTCTGAGGTGTTTTCTCCCTGTTGTCATCAAAGACCGGGTGTTGGACAAACACTTTTAAAAACACTGTAGCTTTTCAGTGGCCACTGAATTCCAGCTGCCATTTTAACAGCTACTTTGGAATGGGTTTTCAACAAAGCACTTTGTATGGATTGAATTGATATTCTGAAATATTCTTCTGTATTGTAAATAAGCATGGACATATATTGAAATCTTTGCCTTGTTCTGTCTGTAGCATCACTGGGAAAAAAATGTCTTAGTGGAGCTGAAAATTAAACTGAATTTGCACAAGATGGAAAGCAGGTATAAGGGAGGAACAGCTTCAGACACATCAGACATGTGGACAGCTCAGCCACCAAAGGAAGTTTTTGGCAATTTTTAACAAGCTGATGCAGTGAATAATTTTCAAATATCACTTTTTACCGCTCTCTTACAGTATTGAGAGCCATATGTCAACAACAAACATCAGTGCCTCAGATTATATAAGAAATATTTAATCTAAATGGTATAGCAGCGGTTGTTGGTAAATTTGTAATTGAAAAATCAATATTTATTAAGCACTGAAAATGTAATTTTAATTAAACCACAGTTAAGCCTATTTAACCTGAACTACTGTTTACATATGCTCTTTGGTGTAACTGCAACAGCCTTTAAGATGTAATGTTTTTGATGGCTTTGTTCAGCCCAAATCTGTCATGGAGAGGCTGAGAAGAGGCGAAGGAACGCAGTATGAGTTGCTGGTGTTGAATTTCTGAAAACTTCAGTTTTTAGTGATTTGTAGCCCTGTCTACACTACTCGGAATATTTGTTTAAACATGTTTTGTTTTTTCTCCATTTAAGTTAAAATATCGTTGCCTACATCATTTTAACAAAAACTAAAATATCCATGTTGTTCTCTAACTGGCAACATGGGGCAGTCCACGAGGGACATGTTTTTTTGAACACACAATAATTTTTTTATTGCTTCAACCTTACCTTGGAAATGGCGTTTAAGGGCCCTAAAATAGTGTTTTTTAATGGGTTGCTAAGTGAAAAAAATCTTGAAACACCACTCTTGTGTTTTCATGTAGACAGCCAAAATGCAGCCTTTTTAAAACAATGATGTCTTAGTCTCACCTCTAATCTAATATATGACCGAAGAGTTCTTTTTTGTAAACATTTTGTACGCCTTGTTTCCTGTTTTTGTTGTAACATTTTTTTAATTTTTGTGGCAGCGTTACAAAGCAGTGGATGCATCTATTTCAACAAACGGTGTTGTGTTTACACAGATATTTTTAGAAACAACAAATTAAAAAACAGTTTTGGAAAAACTGTGTTTCCATGTGTACCACGCCCTAGCTTGGCCCAAAAAAAATCCTGCAACTTTTAACTCTTTTTTTTCCTTCTTCCTTTATTAATATTGTTTACAATTATTCCAAAAATATTAACCGTTTGGGAACACGATCGGTCTTCTTGTTTTGGCTTCTACGGTATAAAATGTTCGTGGGCGTGTGTGGCAGATGCTGCTACGCCATTATTTTTTAAAAGTTCTGTTTTTCGAGTCTTCTCAGTTCGAGTTTTTAAAAATGTCCACTTTAGAAATATTTTTTTGATCTGTTTTTTTCCAAGAAAGCTTTGGTTTGTATGTGAAAAGAGAAGAAAATCTATGTTTAGAAAATATCCGTTGTAGTGTAGACTTGGCCTTAATGTTTGTGTTTAATTACCGGTAATAACCTGTAAGCCCTTCCATCTGTCACCAACTCTGCCAGCTGCTGTAACCAACACATACCTGTGATGCCCATGTATGCCATGGACGTCAGCCTCTTCAGACTGCCAGACATCTCCAGACATTCCTCTCAGATAAACACAGGGTTGATGTAAAAAAAAAAAAAATCACCTCATGCGCTATAACACGTTCAAAGACAGCTGACGCCCGTGCTGAGCACCATAACACCATACTTGTATATAACACGCTATGGTGTTTGAGTCAGTGCATCCTCTGTCTTTGACATCACAGCTCCAGCACATTATTAGCCCGAGAGTAGACCAACACAGACTGAGAAGAGTTCATCATTCTTGAAATACAGTATTTGACAGTAGTTGCATGATGAATTGCTAATGCATGCACTAAAATCTATGCAAGCCGATTCTTGCTAATGTCCACACTGAGTATGTAGAAGTGCTACTCTTGTGTTTGTCACTGTAGAGTTCTGCGAATGCCTGCATCAGAGAGCACGTGAAGGCATCTTTTATTCAAAGCTTTGTTTGCACATTTTCTCTAAAGTAATATACATTTTGTATGAATGATAAGTAATGCTCATTCACCCTCTCAAAGTAAATCAATTCACCTGCAAATTAATCCTCGCTGTGTTGTATTCATTTGTGTCACAATTCTCCTTACAGCTGCACTTTTTTTTGAACCGTTTCCTGTGGCGTTTGGCAACAGTGTGTTGCTTCAGTTTGCAGTTTGTGGTGCAATTTGTTTTCACTTTTAATTGTTTGAGATTTGATTTGCAGAAATCAAGAGTTTTTACCAAAACTGCATTGAGAGCTTGGTAATTAAAATCAATCCAAAGACAGAAGTTGTGACAGGATTATAGCTGATTATTGTTTAATCACTCTGCCTTCAGGTTTTGTATAAAGATAATATTGTGCAATATGTATAGTGTCGGGATTTTATGTTTTTATTGAGTTATTGTATTAAACTCAACATATAGAACTGCAATGCTAAGCTCACTGGTTTGCAAAATGTATATATTTTTTGCCTTATAACCTGAACTTTAAATGGATTTTCATCTTATTTAAAATTAATGGGCTAACATAAAGTACTCCATAAAAAGTATTTAGTTTAAAACAAGGGACATTTTGTTTAAAATCTGAAAGAAATAAACTGAAACTAGTGTGTGCATGTATTCACCTGCTTTGCCAACTTAAGTTGGCAAGTAACAGATGTCACTTAATTAAATAATATCCACCTGTGGGCGATCTAAGTGTCACATGATCTCAGTTTACATTCATCCATTATCTTTACATCAGTGCCAGCCCAAGCCTCCATGGGGCCCTAAGCAAAATTTAGTTTGGGGTCCTTTATTTCTGTTAATAAATTATGGAGTACTGCAATCAACAGTCAGATGATCAGATCATTCACCACCTAACAAACTCATTGAAACTCTGACATCCCTGTTTACATAATTCTGTGTGTATATATCATAAAAGTAACAAAAAAACCCCAAAAAAACACCAGTATGCAATGTATTTGACAGTAAAAGTGTCATCTGGTTTATTATCTTTGGTTTCAAAGAACTGCAACAGTAATGTTCAAAATAATTTGTAGTGCAAGATCAACAACAAACAGATAAAAATAACTTAGATGCATAAAAATAAATTAAATTGTACCAAAACAGACACAATTTAATAAAATAAAAAATTAAATACTAAGGAAATACTTAAATAATGTCTCAACTCAATTCAACTTTATTTTGGTAAATGTGAATGAACAATTACTTGAAACTACGTAAAATGTAAAAAAATTAAATTAAATTAAAGTTGAATAATTAGTTCTTAAAACTATGTAAATGTATGCAATAATTTGCAAAAGCTTAACTGAAAATATTAAATGGAATCATAGAAATCATTACAAAAAAAAAAAAAATTAAATTCTACTTAGGGGGCCCCTTAGTGGACCTGGGGCCCTAAGCAGGCGCTTGTTTATGTCTTGGACCGGCCCTGCTTTACATGCTTCTTCGGGTCCCAGGGGTCACCGGTGTCCATGCCAGAGCTGGGATACACTCTGGACAGTTCACAA